TAACAGATCTGAGCAGTGCCCCTGGCTCTTCTATACCATTTGTGGGAGAATTTGGGCAGGAGGGTGCTTTGCACTCATGACCTTCTGATGGGCTTCTCAAGTGTACCAGCAGAATGCTGGAAAGGATTGCTGATTGGCAAATCAATACTGCAAATCAAGCAGACCCTGATCAACCTGCTGCCTACCCTAAGACTACAAAGTCAGACAAATGGTGGGGGGGTTTTTTTGTTAAGTGGGGAGACAATATACTGGAGGAAATAGCCTTCCTTGGTAGTAATGCCATGCTGAACCGCACAACAGACATACCTAGGACAGCACTGTCAATTTGGCAAAAGTCTCACACAGATATGTTCAAAAAGGAATCAGATTGGCTGAGCTTGCCCTGGCACATTTACAAAAGCTAGAAAACTATATATCTCAATGTTTTCCAGATGAAATGGGCACTCAGAATACAGCTTGATCTTCAAAACTGGTATGCTGGCATACAACCTGAAAGGAGGGTGGGCAACCTGTTTTTCAAAGAAACAACTATTTTCACTCATTTTTTGCCAGTGCAACATTTCAAGATGACTAAGGCGTAAGTCATTTAGCTACATTCTACGGTGTTTTCCATTCTTCACCCTCTCCCACCAAAATCTGTTCAACAATTTTTAAAAACACTTCTTACAGACCTATGTAGAACAAAGCTAAAAATGAAGTCATTGTTTGAGAAAGGTCAGGCTTCGTTTCATGTTTCTTACTTACCTTGACAACTGACAAAACAGAAGAACAGAATATTGAACTAGAACTCCACCTGGCTAGTGCAAATGCAAAGGCTTCAGCTGCCATCGTTCAATAACCAACTGCTATGATTTATTGTTTAGACCTCCGAGTGACATAGCTTGACACAAACCAGTTCTCAATAGTTTCCAGCAGAAATTACAATATAGCGCAGTCTTCTCCAACGCAGTGCCCTCTAAATGTGTTGGACTACAATTATCATCAACCTCAGCCAGTATGGATCAGAAGGGTGGCATTCTACTGGTATAAAAGAGAACTGCTCAATACTTAATCCACAATCCTATACTCACTTCTGAGTAAGTCCCATGTCATAAGTGGATATATCCCCCAATAAGGGAAATAAATACAGAGCTCACAGAAAATCAAAATAATTAAGAGCACTTTTCACATGCTTTAAATGACATAGGAAGACATTGTTCCTTCATCTACAGGGACATAAAGGAATATATGAAGTAGATCTCACCCTGACTAGCAAATTGGAATAGTCTAGGAGATTTTGGCTATGCACATGAACATTATCTACCACTCCTGGCATCTTGCACTGCTCACCATAGTATCTCATCACTTTTCATCTTGAGCAAGCAGCACCTCATTTATTTTCAGAGTAAAATACGGAAATCCAAGAAATGTGAAATGCGTAGTATCCCTGTTTAATAACTTATTCAAGCCTGCACCCATGTCACAATCCAGATATTAAAAATGACCCAAACCTATCCTATTACAATCATCCTTGGCAATCTCTGCTGAAATCCCCCCCATAATGAGAGGTGAGGCATGTAACGATCAGGGATAAGGCTTTTAAGTTATAGTGCCTCAATCTGGAATTCTTTCTCTGCCTAGAGAGATTTGCCTTGCATCATCCGGTTTCTTCTGAGCACCTAGTGAATGCCTTTTCATTTCATCAAGCATTTCAGATCTTAGTCTTTGCTTTTTATATTGAATGCTCTAATCCTGGTCTTGTTTCATTGTGCATCGTTTGGGGATGAAGAGCCAGGACAAGACATGTATAAATAAACCAGTGGCAAAATTCCATTGAATGATATAGTCTTTGAATGGACTATTTTTTTCCACCTCAGGTGTGAGATTCAAGCTACATGTGATAACTAAGCACAACCCTGGAAAGGCTGCATCTAACTGGAGTATGGAGTATGCATACTCTGGTCTTTTTCACTTCTGGAAGAAAACATATGTAGTTCCCATTGCTTTCCTGTATTTTTATCTCTACAAGTGAAAAAACAGCTTAGATAGTATAAACTGGAGCCGAACTGGTGAAGAATTTAAGCAGCCTTTCATGTCTGCTTGACTTCTCCTGGGACACAGACTTGGGTTCTAAAAACCATTGAGGACAAACTCACAGAACTCCAATTCATATATAGTTAGAGCATTAAAAAGGAAAGTGTCCTCTGGATCTGACTTTTTGCTTAAATTGGTGGGACCTATGTATCCTGCAGGTGTTTCTTTTCTTCTGGACAAGTCCCAGGTTTTGCAGTACAATAGCAGCAAACACTCAGTGACTGGGTTCAGACAACCCAGAGCCAGTGTGGTCTAACGGTTAAGAGTGTGGGACTGGGACTCGGGGTTTGAGTCCCCATGCAACCATGGAGCCAACTGGGTGACTTTGGGCCAGCCACAGACTTTCAGCCCAACCCACTTCACAGGATTGTTGTTGTAAGGATATGATTGAGAGGGAGAGGAGAATTCTGTGCCACTTTGAATTCCTCAAAATGAAAAAAGGTGGGATATAAATAATAATTAAACAAATGAGACATTTCTTTAACCTAGGACAAGCCATGGCATGCAAAGGTACCAGGTGACATGTGCAATCCTTCTCTGTGGTTGTCCTGCCATGTGACCCCGCCCCCCACAAGCATGAATTATGTGAGGGTTTAAACAACCCTTGCATAACCCTAAAACAAACCATGGGTTATACAATGGTTGTGTAACCATCCTATAATCCATACTCACTGCCTTTGTATGGCACAACAACCCACAGGTGGGGATTCAATATTCAAAGCCTTGGCCACACATGCCCCAAAGAGGGCTGTCACATTATACAAACAGAGCTATTTGGTATTTGAGCAGTCCCTGAATTCCTGTACTTCCAGAGTTCAGAAAACAACAACTTTTGCTCACACTATTAAAAAAAACTATTAATTTAAATTTAAATTAATTTATTAATTTAAATTTAAATTAAAAAAAAACTATTAAAAGTCCCCATGTTGGAACACCACTGCCACCATTGCAAGGAGCAAGCATTAGGTCTAAATAAAAAGCTGTAGGAAAACAATCATAATGATGAGGAAGGAAATTCCATGATCTAGTTATAACCAGCTTTGCAACACTAGCACACCTACAGTTTCTCAGCTTAGTACCCATAAGTCTAGGCTATATAAAGCAGAATATAAGCAAACTGGTAACAGATTTGCCTTTTCTTCCTCCTATAATTATGCATTCCTGTAACAGACAAGTCTGAACAAAGGCAGTGTTCCCTGTCTTAGGAAGTGGCAAGTTCTTGAATCTGTACATCACATTCTGCTATATTCCTGTGTATGCAGAACACAAGAGGTATAAATCCATGTAGCTAAAAAAAAGTTCTGCATAAAGCAGCAGCTGTTGCCACTGGGGACGAATGCTCAGACAGGAAAAACAGGTGATAAAATATTCTTCAAGCATATGCAAGTATGAAACTGTGGATTTATGAATTAGCAGCAGCTGCTCATGGCACCACCCTGTTTGCCCCAGGTATTAAAGTGTATCACCTACTGTCATTTTGCAACATATGGACCCTCGCTAAGCCCTCTGGACAGATATACAATCCACAGTGTAGTTTGGAAAGGAAACACCCCTCCCATAATGCCACGAGTGAAGGAAGCAAGAGCAGAGGGAATGCAGGGGGTCTGTGAACACTGCTTTTCTGCGGCACGTTAAAGCTTCTGAATGCATATTTTTAAATGAATCCCAAATAGTCAAAAATCAGTCCTTTTCCCTTCATGGAAAGTAAGATCTCCTCCTCCAAAAGAACAAATAAAGAGCATAAAGGGTGGTTTGTTTTTTAATTAGTCATGTAGCTTCCTGCCTTACACCACACCTCCTTATTAAGTGTGCTCAGGAGGAAGGACGGATGGACACCAACCAACCAAAGCCTCCCTTACATGTGACAGCTACCAAGGCTGTTGCTGCATTTTCTGCCTCATATCTGCCCAAATGCACTCACATTCATATGATGTGAACAGGAGTACGTTGGGTACTGGGCTGGGCTCGCATTCTTGACAAGTGTGCTGGCTCTTGCTTATCTAAAAGAACTGCCCCTTCTTTTCCTGAGAAGGCTGTTCTGCTTTCTAGCAGCCACTGGACACATACCGGAGGGCATTTCCCATCACCATCATTTCACCAAGGAAACTGCATGGCATCCAGCTTTTAATGACCAAAAAGCAGTGCCCCCAAAATAGAAGACACTGGTGTCCCACTTGGAATACACAGCATGTGACTTCCATGGGGAGTCACCATGACAGCCAGTATGGCTTTTTAAAAAACATTTTAATAACTAATCCCAGAGGCACTGTGCACAATTGGGCAGCATACAAATGTTTGAAAGAAGAAGGAAGGAAGGAAGGAAGGAAGGAAGGAAGGAAGGAAGGAAGGAAGGAAGGAAGGAGAAATGTAAGTACTGGACGGGGAGTCAGGAATCCAGGTTCCCGTCCCTGTTTGGCCACAAAGTTCACTGGGTGACTTTGGGCCAGTCACACTCTCTCACCCTGGCCTTCCTCACAGGGTTGTTGCAGGGGTGAAATGGAGAGCAGGGGGAGAATTACGTAAGCTGCCTTGGAGTCCTGGCAAGAAAAAAGGCAGCCTATAAATGAAAAATAAATACATCCGGGAAACACATTGGCCCTTATTCTCAATCTGTAAGAGCTGCTGTGCTTACTTATGAGAAGGAACAAATGCTGTGTTTAAAAGCACACTCTGTTATTTGCATGACCCAAGGGTGAGCCCTAACACTGAAAACAGGTTCTTTGGCTAAACACTCAAATGCTGACTCAAATGAAGCACCAATTACAAGTTGGAGGAATGCCTGTTTCCTTCCACATTGTTATTCTAGCATCTCTAGTGCTAAAAACATGGAAGTTTCATTATTCCAGTTCTTTTTTCATGCACCTGGAAAGAACAAGTTTTAAAAGAGCAGTTCCATCCTCTGAAACAGTTAAAACTTTTCACTGTACCTTTCTACTCTGATGTCATCTCTTGCCTCACCAGAGGTACGTTTGGCTGCTATAGCGTCCTTCTCAGGTACAGCAAGGAGAGAATGACAGAGCACAGGAATATTGCTGAAGTTATGGAAAAAGCAGGGATATGATTAGTTACTGGAGAAGGATGCCTACATTCATGCTGAGATCATGCATACAAAGCTTGTCCTGGAATTTAGAATAATGATTAAAAGTTCCCACACAATAACTTTGGGGTGGTAGTGAAGAAAGGGATTACTACACTTTAAGATCAGTCATTAGCTCAAGGTCAATTTTGATTACCAAGTGGAGTTATAAGATGTGTTAAAAATAGCTTTGGGATTGGAGATAAAATGTAAAACTGCTTTCCCAGTTCTCTCCCCATCCTCCTAGTTTGGGAGGATGGAATGAGAGAGCCAAGAAGGCAGGAAGCAACTTGGGGAACTTCATGACTGAGAGCTCTTAATAACTCAGGTGCTTTCTCTGTGGGAGATCCCAAAGGGACATGAGCGAAGCCCAGATTAAAAATCCAAAATTTAATTGAACATCTGCACTGAAAAAACAAATAATAAACTTAGTCGAATGACATAGGTAACACTGATAATGTCTTATCTGATCCTGAAAATCATTTGGGCATTTCAGAATGCCTTGGAAGAAGGATCTGAATAATTCACATTCCTTTTTCAATCATTAGCAAAGTGAAACTCTGCAGGTCAACTTTTTTAGAGAGATAAGAGTAGACACATAAAAACAAACCCACACTTCAGTGTAATGCAGGGGTGACTGAATTTTAGCAATTTGGGATTTTCTGAATTATGACTGGCAAGTAAGTCATAATACTGTAACTGTGTGAGCCTGTAGCTCCTACTCCGGAGAGGAAAGCATTTGAAAGCTTAACTATCAGAGCTAAAATAAATAGAAAAAGAAAAGATGGTGGAAACTTCAGCTTTTTACAGATCCCTCCATCAACTCATGAATAGTTCACTTAACTAAGACCAAATTCTACAGAAAGAATTACAGTTTTATGTGGACAAGATAGAAAAGGGTAACTATGCAATCAAGAAATGGACTGCTCCATCCCTCTCTAAATCAACAGAATGGCAAGTACCTTTTACAGTTATATTTAAATAAGTACCTTTCATCAGGTAATCCTTCTGCAGCCAGGGTTTGCAGTTCACTAGGAAGGCTTTGCTCAGTTTCTGGGAATGAGGGGCTTGATCCTTTCTCCTGGACATCCTGAATGGACTTCCCATATGCCAAATTCTCTTCTGTACACTGATTTGCAGCAGTGACTTCAGCATCTGTATACACGTTTTGCTCCATCCCTTGAATGTCTTCTGAGGGCTTAGTTGCATCAGTCCCTTGACAGCACATGCTGGATTGCAAAGCTGAGGCACAGTCATCAGTTAATAACGTGCTCGTAATACCTGTTCTAAGGATGTCAACAGAAATATTTGCTTCTGTTTCCACTTTGTTCAACAAAGTGTCATTTGCTTCTTCTACACATTCCTCACTCCCACTGCTAGATACTGGTTTGCAGCAATCTGCGGAAAAATCATCAGGGTGTACCTTATTTTTAAATTCCTCTATTAGCCCATGAAGTGCTGTGTCCTGCCCTTTCTCTTGCTCTTGAACATCTGTTGATGTCTGCAAGCATTTTGTACTTCCAAAGGCATCTGGTGTCATAAACACTTTTTCTTGAAGTGCTTTTTCATCCAAAAGTTCACTGCAAGTGGATTTGCTCTTGTTCTCCCCAGGCAATATCCTGGACTGTTCCATTTGTGGTATGTATACATGAAAAACATCTTCAAGAGATGGCTGCACGGATGTGTTGCCTAGGTCAACAGCATTCTTACCATTCCCTTTGTCTTCTATTGGCCCTGGAACACAGCACTGGATTTGGTGTCTTTCTTCTTCAGATGAAGCTGCTTCTGTTTTACACACACTAATTAAATTACCTTCTTCTGCTTCTGCAGCAACAGTTCTGTCAAAATCATTCTTCAGAACTTCTTGAGAGGCAGCAATCACTAAAGACAGTTCATCGCCAGAAGTGGGAGGTAGATTCCCTATTTCTGAGCTAAGAAAATTTGCAGGTTGCAACTCTCCTCTTTCCAGGCTCACATCATTCTCATCATGGTCACTGCTTGTGGCACTGAAGCATTCACTTTCCCTTGTCTTCACATTCCTATTGTCTCCCTTAATATCTAACTCTGGCAAACTTGACAAAGCTTCTTCACTTAAACAATATGCACCAAAAAGGGTCTTTTCTGAAAAGGCACCTGGCAAACAAGAATCCTGAGCATTTGTGAATAATTTTTCCTCCTGTAATATTCCTTTATCAGTTACGCCATCACAGCTCCTAGCTTCTAAAGGCAATGTACGTTCTTCTGTTTTCTGGACACTCTTGGGTTCTCCGTTTTCATTCTTTTCTTCAGCCTCTTCTAATTCTTGCTTACACTCCAGTATTTCCTTAGGCATTGGGCTGCCCCCATCACCCGAACTGTTTTCAACTGAAAGGTTGGGTAATTCTGCAATGGGTGTATTTGGAATTGTCTTCTCAAAAATTTTGCTAATATGCTTCCTGAAATCCAAAAAGCCAATACTGAAGCCCCTGGAATGTGAACCATCCGGATCTTTTTCAGTGGTCCCTGCAGACTGCATGGGGGTTTCCATCTTGGGGATGCTAAAATTTTCCTCCAAAACACAGTTGCTCTTTTCCTTATTCCCCGTGTCATCTGAGCTCTTGCTGTGCTTGTCATCTGCACAGGTGATATTTGTTGCAATGCCCTCATTACAGTCTGCTTGCTTACCAAAAGATGAAAGGTTCAAAAGCTTCTCTTCAAAGCTTGAAAAGCTGAAGAGATTTTCTACCGAGCTGTCAAATTGCTGGGCTTTGAAGTTTACATCACTTTTTGCTCCTTTCGTTTTAATTGTTGAGATCTCAGTCTGCAGCTTCATGAAATTAAATGGTGACAAATTTCGTTCAAGCTGTCCAGCCTGAGAAGAGTTTCGTATAGTTAGACCCTCTTCTGAAAGCAAGCTTTCATTAGGAATTACAGATTCATTCCCTGGGATGGCATCTGCAGGAATATTGTCGAAATGCAGTACATCAGGGCTCTTTTGATCTGTTGTGCTTTTCTCTGCCGAAGTATTGTCTAACTGTATAGGTGTAGCAGCTGCTGCAGCAGCACCCAAGAGATTCTGGCATGCTGTAACTTCTAGCTCTTTTTGTAATTCACCCACATTGCCATCGTGCACAGAGCTTATGAGTTGCTGGATCATTCTGCAGTGCTGATCATCAGAAAGGGCTGCCAGAGGTGTTTGAGAGCCAGCAGGTATTAACTCGGACTGTTCAATACTGTCTGTTTTATATGATACACCACTTGAAGAAATGTCTTTGATTTCAGGTAACACAGGAGGATATTCCTGTGCTTCTGTGTTTTCAGCAGCCATGAAATGAGATGCCCTTTCACAACTTATTTTTCCAGGTTCATCTTGCAGTCTGAGTTTTTCTGTCAAACTTGGCCTCTCCTTCATTTCTATGTCTGAGCTTTTTTCTGCCAATTCTGCTATTTTACTTGACAGGTTAAGGTCAGTCCTGTTGTTCTTAGAATCATCTGCACAAGTTACTTTAAAATCCACTAGCAATGACTGTTCAGCATTGGCAGTGACTGCATTCTGTGTGAATGGAATGCACTCTGTAACACTACCATTGCTTCGTTCTGTGCCGTCTGTTAGTCCCTCTGATTGTTCATTTATGACAGCTTCTTTAGTCAGTGCCTCCCTGAGACCTATTTCTTCATGAGGATGGTCCGAACTCAGGGAATTAGAAGTCTCTTGAGCAGACTTGCTGAAGTTTTCTTTGTTGAAACAACTTCCTTCTGCCTGTGAATGTGCTACGGTTTGCAGGTTGTGATCTTGCATATAACCTCCCACAGATTCAGAAATACTCGATAAGGGTGCATTTTCATCCGTGCCAGTTGTGGGATCATTCAGTTTCATCTCTAACCCACAAAGAACTGTTTGGGGTTGATGTAGAACATCTGCAGTAACATTCTTTTCACTTTCATAAAGCCCCGGATGGTCATTGGGTTGGTTTACCACCAGTGAATTTTTGGTTTCTGGGGGCTTTTCATTAGGCTCTTGTTCATCGGGATTTGTAACTGCTGTCAGATAATTGTCATCCAGGCCTTTGAGTTCTGTGCTGGAAATGTGCTGTTGATTACTGCCAGCTGAAGCAAGAGGCTTTGGACTATCTTTCAGCTCTGCTTGTGGAGATGGTATCAAAGTGTCCACAATCTGTTGTACATCCATGGTCTTTCCATGAAGAACTTCCGAAGATGCACCATTACTCTCTAGTGCATATTTAGGGTCCCTTATACTGCTATCCTTCACGTCTGCAGACTCCAGCAGCTGAGAACCAGTCTCCACCCTGCTCATGGGCTGTGGTGGCGGGCTGCCACAAGCATCCTCTTTCATGCCTTGCTCATTTTCTTCAGTCACTTGTTCCTGCCGTACTTGCTGCGGGGAGTCCAATTTGCTTTTGGGTTTTGGAGCCAAAGTTGTGTCAGCTGTTTGACTTTTCATTTCTGTTTTGTATTCCCCCTGTCTGGTTTCATTACTTACTTTCTCATCCACAGTATCGCTTTGTTCAGCAACAGTCACAGGTACATAGTCAGCATCAGGGCAATCTATCTGGCTATGCTTTTTGCTTTCAGAAGGGGATATATTCTCCTGGAGTGTTGCTTTTTCTACTGAAACACATTCCGATTCTTTTGCTGATTCTTTTAAGTCCTGATGCTCTGTTTCTGCTTTAGGAACTGGTATTTTTTCTGGGGATGCTTGGTTGCCTTCAGATGTTATTTCATGCTCAACTTGGCCTTCCAACTCCCCTTCAGTTCTCTGAGCAAATGTTTGATCCCCAGATCTGTTCTGCTTATTTTGCATAACAGCATTGTCCTCTGAGTGCATCAGCAGTGAACCATGTACATCTGCTAAACAAACTTTGTCTGCCATGCTAGACTCTGGAAAGTGAAGTGGCGCATCTTCTGCACTGAGATTTAAAAGATCACAGCTCTGTGAGCATTTCCCCCCTTGTAAATATAGTGTTTTGACAGACTGTGGGCTTGTATGCATGTTTTCATTTGTGGCTGTTTTCTCTGTCTCTGATCCCAGACTTAAATCAGGTAAATGAGCTTTGAGCGTATGCAGACTCCATTCAGAACTGGCATCCTTTCCCAAAGCCTTGCCACTGGTAACATTTTTAGAAGCATCTACCGGAGAGCTTCTATGATCATCCCAGTTAATGTCAGGGCTGTCCTGCTTTGTGCAACTATCAAAGGTTAGCAGTGTCCCTTGGGAACAGTTTACTTCTTCGTGCACAGTTGGACTTGTTAAAACTGCCCTCTCAAGACTTCTATGCTGTCCCAAAGAAATGTCTTTGTTTTCTTCAGGTGTGACATTTCCTTGTTTAATGAGCTCACTCTCACTTGCAGCATCTCCTACACTTTCCCCCAGTGACAATCTTTCATCTACAACAGAATCTTCCTTCACAAGATGCACAAGATTTTCTGAGCCAGCTACAGTGATGCTTCCTCCACTCACATGTTCAGCTTGTGTGATTTCCCTGCTGCCAAATTGCTCTGCTCTGCCTTCAGACACAGTCCTTGGTGTTTGCTCTTCATTCTCCTCAGACAACAAGGGCACACTGGCAAGCTCGGAGCTAATGAGTAAAGCTACACTGTGATTTTCTCTTTCGGTAGTGAAGAGGATTCCTGGTTGTGTACCTGGAGCTTCATCTGGGCATGCCTTTTCCAACAGAAAACCCTTGTTTTGTCCTTCAATTGCAGTTGCCAGTGTCAGGTTTGAAAGATCCAAGGTGATATCGGATGTGGTAGGAACAGGCACAGACTGCTCCCTGAACTTCTCTGGAAAAACTGGATGGCATTCATCCCCTTTGTTCCCTGCTGCATCATTGCTACACTGGCTGATGGCAACACTCAACCCCACAAGACTCTGGCCATCAACAACTGTTCCACAGTTTTCAATATCTGAACCCCCTGTGGTGGGATAATTTGGGATTAAGGTTTCCTCTTTCATCACCAGGCTGTCTACACCATCTGTGTTCTGTCCACCTAGTTTTACTGCAGCCTGCTCTTCGTGATCCACTTGCAAACACTCTGTCTCCTGACTGGTCTCTTGAGTGATACAATAATCTTTCTGTTCTTCTCTCTCGGGTAATGGGATGACAGATGCCTCCCTCTCATCACTCAGCTGTTCACTCTGCTGTAATGGGTGCAATATATCTGTACCGGTCTGTGCAAGTCCAGCTCCGAGCTTGCAAGTAGCACCTGATGATGACCTCAGGTCTGAACTGGAATTATCTTGCTCATCCTTCGCTACAAGCAGGGTAGCAGACTGTTGCTCAACAGTTATGCCACTGTCCAGAGATGCCACAGGGGCAGATCCTGTCTCTTTCATGGAGATTGGGTATGGCAACAGGATAGGCAACCCCCCGGGGCTGACATCAAGACTCGCTGGAGCATATTCCTTGGCACACTCCACCAGGGGCACTGGCAGAAGTGTTCTTGCCGCCCCCTCCAAGGTGTCAGATGTGGCTTGGTCTTCCAGGTTACACAGGGCATTCTCCAGGGCCATCACATGTGGAGACACCAAAACTGGGTTTGTGCTGGGTGGTTCTTCAGCAGCATTGCTACAGAGGCCTTCATTTCTTAGGCTGCCAACAATGGAAACGTTTATTCATTTCAAATCGGCAATAAAGCGGAAGACAAAAAGTAAAAATTCAGGCCACAGAGATTTCAAAGCCATGCAGGCACATGCACTGGCAAGCTGTCTGCTTTCATGAGGCAAGAGACCAGAGGCACCGAAGCGATTTAAGCGTTCTGAGCATCATTACATGGAAATAGACGCCTTCAGCATTTTCTGCTGCCTATCATGTTAGATATGTGGATTTACTTTCCTTACAGATCTTTTTAAATAATTTATTGAGTTGCATGCTGCTTCTCTCCTTTGCTCTATAACAGTCATAAAATAAATCCTAAAAGGAATGCGGAGCATGGAAAATTAATCAGCACAAGACTGAATTTCAGGTGGAAAATTGTGGAGTGACCGAATTATTCCTGGGCTTAAAAGGACATGAGGTTCGAGTTACACTTTTTATTGCAGATTTCTGAGTTGTCTGAATTAAAGTCGCAATCCTAATCCATGTTACTAGAACAGAACTTCAATTCTCTGTAAATATGTCTAGTAGTTTTTCTTGGCACCCAAGGCAAAACACCGAGATGGTAACTTCTTTCTACAACCAGTACTGGAGTTCTTGGGCCTACTGCCGCTTCCACCTTTTCCTGCGTTGGCTCAATGATTTATTTAGTCCCAGTGGAGCCACCTTTCTATAATGCTCCACTGTTCTATAATGAAATAGCCTGTCTCCACTCTTACTTCAGAGGAAGAAGGTGCTTTATACTGTGTCAGACCATTGGTCCATCTAGCCCAGGGATTGTTGGTATTGACTACCAACACTTCCAGGTTCTTTCCTAGCCCTACCTGGAGTCACTGGGGATTGAACCTGAAACCTTCTGCATGCAAAGCAGCTGCTCCACCACTGAGCTGTGGCCACTTCTGCTGGACCCCAAGCCACAGATTCAGCCTGGTCAGCAATACATACTTTCTCACATCATGTTGGTATGTCGCTGCTCCCTGTAACTTCAGCCCCTCCATCTTGGCTTTACCCTCAACAGCTTTCCACCATTGCCGTTCACAGATGCAAATGATATGTTACTGTTCAGATCTAGTTCAGGTCATGAAGCTCCAAACCTCTGAGATTACAAAAGGGTGGCTGGTGGGGGAGGGGACTGTCACAATATCGTGCAGGCCTAATCTAGGTTCATCTTGCAATCAAAGAGGCTTTAAATCTACCACCTATGGGGATCAATAGTCTCTTCTCTGCAAACAGAATCCTTGCTCTTTCATCAGATACCTGGACTTCCATCGCAGTGACTGAGCACTTCACTATATATACACTTGCTGCCCTTTCTATCAAACTATGTAGAAAAGTGTATAAGGGCAAATGAGGTGCCTCATGAGAACAAAGTTGGCACAAATTGTGCAGCATATTAAACTGGCATGCAACCATGCATTCCCTCCTTCACATATTGTAAACTTGCTGGTATACAAGGTTTGATGCATAATAGCTGTAGCAGCAGGGAAAACAGTCAACAGTACGTACATAAACCCAAAATATTTGGCAAGTCCCACTGAGAAACAAAGCAAAACGAAACACCCGCCTCAAGAGGTTCATCAGGCATTAGCTACCAGCACCTACTGACTGAAAGACCAGAGAGTAAGGGAGAACCCACATGAAACAGCCCACTGGAGCAGCCATCACTGATTCATCACTTTTTCCTTGTGCTAGAAAGGAACACAAATATTTGTGTTGCTTGCTGTTGCTGCTTGAATTTGAGGTGTGCAAGTGCACCATTCCAGCTACCTGAAATGCTAAGCCTTGCCTGGTCAATGTCCTGCTAAGCACCAGATGCTGAAACGGGCACTATCCATGGTCCTTGACAAAGCCAGCCTTCAGCTATATCACTGTGCTTTTCACATGGCTGCTGTGAAACCGCAGTGCTGCAAAGCACAAAGCAGCAAGATGATCTTTGCTTTCAGACCCTTTCCACCCTCTCCCAAACTTCTAGGTACTTGAGGAAATGGAAGAGTGCAGTAGGTACATATGGAAGATGGAAGGATTTCACATGGAATGCAAGGAGAAAAGAAGTTCTCAAATATATAAAGCATGGCCATGTAGAGCTACTCAAAGATTTTCCAGTATTCTGGCTGTCATGAAAAGAGGAGGCAGTCCTCTTCAGATGGTCACCTTCTAAAGTCAAGGCTTATGAATGTGATGTGAGGCTGGGGCACTCCCTCTTGTTGATGTTGGTCCTGTTCAGGTACAGAATACCAGAAGAGGACTAAAATGCCCTACAAACACATCAGTGCACTAGTGAATGTTCTGCTACATTTACTAGTTGTTCTCCCATCTCTCCAGGTTTACTCATTATACTCTACTTAATGTACTACTTTACTTCTCCCAAGGAAGCATAGGTCTTGTTTTACCTCTCTCTCTTCTTTGTGTTTGTCAGAAACACACTTTAGCCAGCAGTTCCAAATCTTTAACTGATGATGTATGGCAGAGCAGGACACTTTGGTAAGTATAAGATAATGCTTCAGCATTTATAGCTGACACTGATCCAAAGGGCAGAGTTAGTGGTGACAAGTGACAGTTGTCATGAGTAACCTTCTCATCACACAGAGAGAATCCCAGTCCAAATAGAGAAGAATTAATCTTTTTTTAATGGACTTTGTCTTTCTTTAGCAATTTGTCTGAATACTTTCAACAATTAATTCTGAATATATTTACGAGTATATAGTAACATTTTGGAAACTCAACAAAAAGAGTTATTTGCAGAGCAAGACTGTCAGCACCATAAAGGTAATTATGCGTAGCCCTCTACATTCTTTTATGGAACTGACTTAGGGCCTTGGAGGAAAAGATGATCGCATTTACTGTACTTCCTGTAGGTTATAATGTTGCTGTTCCTGTAATACACTTGCTGGAGGGGTCCTTCTCTAACAAGGAACCCAGGGAAAACCTGTGCTCTTGGGGAGATGGCCACAAGTTCATCTCTGCTGCAGGCAGAAGACTGTGCCTCTGAGGCAGAGGCTGACCCACTGCCACCCCCACCCCTCCAGGAGCATCATTGCCTCAAGTGACAGGCAAGTAGGGCTCCTGTGAGGAGGAGTGCTTGCTTTCATGGGGGACTCCTCAGGAGAAACTGAATCCTCAGAAGTAGGGCTCTTGCCAGAGAGCTCTACTTAATAAGGTGCAGCTGAGGCATGATGCTCTGTGCTACTGACCTTTGGAGTCCTGTCTGAGTCTTCTTCTGAACTTGGCTGCTTTGTTGTGCTTTGCTCATATTTTGACCACTCCTGCCTGCCTTCTTCCTCACTGAACTGAAACTTTGATGTTTGGCCATTTGGCACCTTTACTCTTTGGATTCCCTCATATCTTGGAGTCTGGGTCAGCCAAAGCAGGACTAAGCACTAAGAGGAAGGTAAAAACACAAGAAGTGCCTCCTCTTTCTTCTCCTAATACAGTCCAGCTGTGCCAATGCATCCTGTGAAATGGAAGTGATTGCTTGTTTATACTGAACAAATGACGAGCTGCAGCAAAATGTTCCTAACAAGAGTAGCCATGGCATGAGTGGTTTTAGAAGTTAAGAGTCCTCCTCCCCTTTTAGGGCACTTATCACAAATTAAACAAAGTTATGTATGGACAGATGGCTTAGTACACTTTTCCCAACATAGTATCATCCAGCTATTCTGTATTACAACACCCTTCGTAACATACCATTGCTCCTGTTGCCTGGGTATGGTAGAAGAACTAGTCTAAGACATCTGGAGAGCACTAGGTTCCATTGCCTCCTCACAATGCCGCCCGGCAGAGCTTTTTCGAGTGGTACAAGGCCTGGTTCGCCCGGGTCCTAAGGAAGATCCGATGCCACCCTCAAAGGCCCACTGTGACGACTTTGCCAGGCATTTCAGGGAGAAAATCGCTCAGATTCGTCACGAGCTGGACTCCACTAATGAATCAGAGGTTTCTGGGGAGACGCCAATGCTACCGTCTGGTCCAAAATTATTGGAGGAATTTCAATTATTGCGGCCCGATGATGTGGGCAAGGTGCTTGGACGAGTACGTCCCACCACTTGCCTATTGGATCCTTGCCCGTCTTGGTTAATAGATAACTCCAAGCACGGGATTGGGACCTGGATCTTGGAAGTGGTTAATGCTTCTGAGGGAGGGTCGAGTGCCTGCCCTTTTAAAGGAGGCAGTAATACGACTGGTCCTGATGAAAGCGTCACTGGATCCAGAGATGGCCACTAACTATAGACCTGCGGCCAACATCCCGTTTCTGGGCAAGGTGTTGGAGCGAGTGGTGGCGGGACAACTCCAAGCACTCTTGGATGAAACTGATTATCTGGATCCTTTTCAGTCCGGCTTCAGACCTGGGTACGGTACTGAATCTGCCTTGGTCGCCCTGTACGATGACCTGTGCAGGGAGAAGGACAGGGGGAGTGCATCCCTGTTGGTTCTCCTGGACCTCTCGGCGGCTTTCGATACCATCAACCATGGTATCCTTCTGGACAGGCTTGCGGGATTGGGGGTTGGAGGCACTGCTTTGCAGTGGTTCCGCTCCTATCTCAACGGTCGATTCCAGAAGGTAGTGCTGGGGGACTATGTCTCTGCGCCATGGCAGCTATGCCATGGAGTACCACAGGGCTCCATTCTATCCCCTCTGCTATTTAACATCTATATGAAACCGCTGGGAGAGGTCATCAGGAGGTGTGGGCTGCGGAATCATCAGTACACTTATGATACCCAGCTCTACCTCTCGTTTTCCACTAATCCAGGTGAGGCAGTGGCTGTGCTGAACCGGTGCCTGGCCGAGGTAATGGAATGGATGAGGGCCAATAAACTGAAACTAAATCCAGACAAGACGGCGGTCCTGTTGGTTGGCGGATCGGGCTTCGGAGAGGGTGGATTTGACCTGGTCCTGAATGGTGCAACACTCCCTCTTAGGGACAAGGTCCGCAGCTTAGGAGTATTCCTCGACCCGGAGCTTTCTTTGGAAACTCAGGTGACAGCGGTGGCGAGGAGCGCCTTCCTTCAGCTTCGGCTGATTAATCAGCTGCGCCCCTACCTGGAGTACGACTGCCTGGCGACGGTGACACACGCGCTGGTGACTTCCCGCCTAGACTTCTGTAACGCGCTTTACGTGGGGCTTCCCCTGAAGACAGTCCGAACACTTCAATTGGTGCAAAATAGAGCTGCCAGGTTGCTGACGGGGACGGGGCGTTATGCTCACATGACTCCAGTCCTCCGTCAGCTTCACTGGCTTCCCATTGAAGCACGGGCCCAATTCAAGGTGTTGGTTATGACCTATAAAGCCCTAAATGGCTTGGGTCCTGGCTACCTGAACGAGCGCTTACGTCCGTATATGCCCGACCGCCCCTTGAGATCTGCGGGAGAGTCCCTTCTCCGGGAACCCTCCATGAAAGAAATTAGGAGAGTAAGTACTCGGAGGAGGGCTTTCTCTGCGGTGGCGCCCAGCCTATGGAATTCACTCCCCAAAGAGGTCTGCCTGGCACCGTCATTACTGGTTTTTCGGCGCCAGGTAAAGACCTTTTTATTTCAACATCATTTTAATTGTTAAAATATATGATCTGGCCAGGGCAACTTCTTCTTCCTTCTCTTTTCTCCTCCTATATTCTATATCTACTTATTTTATACTGTTAATTTTAATTTTATATTATGATGTTTGTATCTCAATGTATTTTTTGTATTTTTGTATTTATTGGTAATTTATTACGTTCTATTGTATTTCAATGTATTTTATTGTGTTGTAAGCCGCCCCGAGGCTTCGGCAAGGGGCGGCATAGAAATGTTATAATAATAATAATAATAATAATAATAATAATAATAATAATAATAATAATAGGTTGGAGAAGCTTAGCCTAGTAAATTTGAGGGGTATATTCCAATAGGGTTGGAGTGCTGGGCTAGGACTAGAATGCAAAAGATTTGGGTTCTAGTCTTCACTCATTCATGAAGCTCAGTGGTTCAGTTTGAGCCAGTCACAGGCTCTGGTTATTACAACATTCTCGTGATGACAAATGGAGGAGAATAATGCCCACCACCTGGGTAACTTGGAGGAAAGACAGGATATAAATGTAACAAAAACCACAACTAGATTGCAATTCTGCTTCTTAGGAAGGTATATTTTAAAAAAGAAACCATGTTGAAAAATCCCCATAATGGGAAAATGTCAATACAGAATGGGGTAGGTTTTGTTTTTAAAATGTACATGTTACCTTTAAAGATACCCCCCCCCCCGTTTGTATTTTGCTTTGGAAATTGACACAATAAAATTAAGACATGAACAAGAAACAACATAAAGTGACAAAAGCCCATGTCCTAATAGGTTCATGTTGTTAACAGCAAATCCTCCTAAGTCTCTGATCCTAATCAGTGGGTCTTGCTTCCAAATAAATTTCAAATTGGATACAAGGCTTTAAAAATAGGCTCAAACTCTGCATTTCTGCTCCTAATTATACCTTGGTGAAGGCACAACAGCTCCAAGTACCCTGGGAGCAACAACATTTTCTTGAATATGGATTTACAAGTTCATGACCTGTCTGCCAGAGTGCTGACAGCAATTTGGTGGCACTAGATTAGCAGACTCACTTACCAAAGCAGATTTTTCAGTGGGTGGATGAATTCTATGTGCTAAGTGGTTTACCTCTATGTATTAAATACAGCATGCTTCATAATGCCCAACTCCCCTTTTACTCTACATTTAAGTTGCATTTTCTTGCTTAACAAACTCATACAAATTAAACTAGCAGAATTAAAAGACAGGGCAAAAAAATTGGTTGGATGATGCCAACAGCTATACTAGTCAGCCACGTAAACTAATTAAGATAAAAATAATGAAGAACTAGTTATCTACCATAAGTACGAATATAGTCTTGAAAAAATGGGAAATGATCTCTAGCAGGAAAACCTCATTAAGTCTTCTCTTGAAATAAAGCAGACGGAGAGAAAACACAATTCCGCTCATGTTGTTTGGTCTCAAACTGGGGTCTGAACCTCTTTCAGAAAAAAGCTCTTGCGGCTACATTTTAGTGGTGGGAAGCACTCAAAGCCAACAGGGCAAGGCCATAGGTATTACATGAGCTCAGTTTAACATAAAATTCTTACTGGCAGTAACTTTTCTACATGGGACATTTATTGTGTGCTCATTATTTCAAACTCATAGTGGTTTATGGGTTCTTTAGATGACATTACAACCCCCCAGTTTTGTTTTTAAAGAGCATTTTCTGCATTCTTTAAATCAGGGAAAACATGGTATTAGTGAACATGCTTTTTGTACTTGTACATTTGCACTATTCTGCTATACCACAGGGCCATCTAGAAGTGTGTAACAGAAAAGCAGGAAGAAGTCTTCATGCACTGCCTGTAATTTAAGGCTGTGATGAAGCTGAAGTAGATGAAGCAGATTAAAAACCTTTGTACAGAAGCCAGATGCCTTCAGAGAAAGGGAAAAGGCTACACAAAAACCAGGGCATCACCATATAATGCAATAATGAACAAATGTAATAATATTCTCAGTTGTATCATGGCTGAAGTGATTGACACTTCTGGCCATGAAAATGTGCAGTGACGGCAGATATTTTCAATGAAATAAAAGACTACTTCATGGAAGGAAAAACCAAGCACATCTGTCTTAGAAACACAGTTCTCACCTTACATATATAGGGACATACTTGAAAGTTAAGAATCCAGAAAACCAAATTGATACAATCAATCATTATCAAAAAAACATAACCTCTATCAGTCCAACAAAAAAGAGTATCTGAAGAAGGGATATCTCTACATGTTTGGTGGGGATCAACCGTATGGTTATGAGCAAGAGCTGTGTGTCGTTGGGGATCACTTAAGCATTGTGACAGGACACATGCTTTTGCTTGCACAGAAGTGATCCCTGTATTTACATCCATGGCTGGATATCAGACTCTTCAGCTTCCAAACCCTACAGTTTGCAGACATCTCAGGCAGTGATTACAGATCATAATCCTGCTCAGCCCATTTCACCCATTAATCACATAAAGGGGTGCACAAGCACTGGTGCCCTTGACCCCAGTGTCCACTTATCAAACACTGGCATGTGAGAACCAGCAGGGTTTCCACATCTATATAGGTCTGCAAATATATACTTTCCTGTTCTCAGATATTGACCTTCAATCTGTAGTGGTTGGTAGGTGGAGCAAGGATGTAGCAAAGTGTCAGGAAAGTAACAAAAGCCCCTAGTAAGGTTCTACCACCTCATTCTGTATGTGGACCCCTTCATGCAATTAACATGTGTAATGACTAGGATGTCTGTCAAATCTAGTATTTCTGGGTCTAGAGTCTCAGAATATGCCTATATCTTTCAGAATTGCACAAAATTGAGAATATCCAACTTTATGTATCATAGCACTACAGTGATGAATACTTATTTATTGGAATAAAGCATAATATGTATTCCATCTTTGTTGGAATATTATCTTCAACTCAAAAGTGTCCATGAAACTGTGTAAACATATATGGACTGAACAAGTAGGGGAAAGGAAAGTAGGTTTTACCTACTCATATGGCACTCACCAATGTGTACGTAAAGTGAGATCTAAGTATGATATATACCCTATCTTTCCATAAGATATGTATTCTAGCATCAGGATTAGTTTTTTTTCCTTCCACTGCCTGACCAGAAATCAAAACCTGAGGTTCACTCATTTTGCAATGTGCGCACATCTGTATAAACACAGGAACTTTGTCAAAATTCAAGATTAGCATATATAGCAAAAGGTATATTCCTATGGACTACCTGAGTATACTGTTTTTGGTTTAATGGGAACTAGAATCTTACGAAGGCTGAAGTCTTTTATTTGCCTTTTGCTTTCACTAAACCCAAGTTAAGGACAGACAATATAGCAATATAAAACAAGCCATTAATAATGTAAGCAGTTAAAAAATTGCAAAACCATGCTGTCATCCAAGGACAAAAATCCCACAAACAGCCTAAAATCATGTAAGTAGTGTTTTAAAAGCCATGTACTTTCTCAGACATCACAAGCAAACCATTAATGCAAGGCCTTGCATGACAGCAAAACAAACACATTTCATCAAGCTGCTCACACTTGCTACTTTGCTACTTGTTACTTGCACTTGGTATAGTATACCTGTTTATGCCTGAGGTCTGGGACCTTGAATCTTCATTTACATCGACCCCAGCAAAAAGAAGATTCTTTGGGGCAAGTGACTGGTAGAGCTCCCCTTCCTTCCAATAAGGCACTAATGGCCAGTTGCCTCTGACAGAAAAGGTTTTGTGAAAAGAGAAACATATACATGTCCTAAAAGCAGTCTTAAAAATCAGAGAAACTGACATACAAGAGATATCCCTCAGAATATCACTACCATTACAATATTCACTTTCTTCAATATGCTTCCATCTGAAAGAATGCCATGCTTCACAGAAAGGAAAATAAGTCAAACACTGAAATGAAAGCAATTAAGTCACACATTACAAAATATGTGTGCTTGACTACCAGATGGGCAGCTGGAAAAGTAATTAACTCTGAAAGTACATTGCAACTACTAAAAAAAGTGTTGAGGTCCTACACATACAAGGTCATAGTTTCATCTGTGTCAATCCAAAAGAACCACCTCCTGATTTTATACCCTCCATAACTAAAGTGCATTAGACTTCTCACTTCATGAGGATTATGCTTTGAAATGAAATGTACCAGCCTAGATACGAAAATCAAATGGGGACACCCATTTGATAAGGGACAACCCTGATGGTGGAATTCCTTCTCACCTATAGGATGCACCTGGTCTTTCCCAGAATTTTGATTACATTTTTCCTCTTGCATCATTTAAATGACCTGTAACTGTTCTCTTCTCTTAGGGTTTTGTTTTTTTTTTTGGTTTTTTTTTTTGTGCGGGGGAGTTGGTTAATGCTGTATTATTTGCCTTGCTTTGGGTTTATTTCATAATGAAGGTAGGTAAACTAAATCTGCCTTTTACTACATTGGTTGGGAATGCAGAAGGATGGTTAGTAGAGTATTATGGGACTTTCAGTTTGCAGTGTTAACTGGGTTACCGTAGCAGAAGTTCCCTTGGGCAACAGCCTACATCATAAGATACATTCGTTCATTACCAAAGTAAAGACATATCCGGTACCTACCTTGTATCGCTTCCACTTAAGAAGGAGCCATTACCTGGCAATGGTAATGGAGGAGCAGAATCTAAAGGTGAACTATCCAAGTCATCTTGCTCAGCAGGTCTGCCCCTGTTCCTTTTCCTCTGCTTTTTCTTTTTTATTTCTTTCTCATCAGGGGGCAGCTGGACTGTCTCTGGAACTGATGGAACTTCCTAGAATGGTTAAAGGATGGGTTCAATCAAAGAGCTGACACATATGCTCGGTTCCACTGTGGTTACCCACCCTTGTTTTTATACTGAATACTTAGTTGTACCACAAAGTGCAAAAGTGCAACCATAAATGAACTCTCAGCATTCTTTTCTGCATTTCCCCACACTTTGTTCTGACTGGGGGGTAACAACTGACCCACAATAATCATTAGGCAAAATAAATCCCAGAGGAAGGAGAAAACAACTCTTATGCTAGATATGATACTCTTAGGTGGCCCCTAGAGGGTATCCTTATCTCATTTTCCTGCCCAGTGAATGTTTTCATTTGGTCAGCAACTGTATCACTATTCTGAAGAGGGAGGGAAAGAAAACTTATACAGAGAAATTTAAAAAACTAAACAGTGAAAGGGCAATAATCTGCATGCCTAAATGAAAACCATTTTTTCTACACACTCGAAAATAAGGGTTACCATGGGTTACCAAATGCTAAACACTAACATACACAAAGAGTCATGTGGCACCTTAAAAGCTGAGTTAGTTCACATATAAAAGCACCGTAAAGTAATTAGTCTTCAAGGTCCCACAAGACTACTGCTTTAGCTGCAACAGAGTAACATAGTTACCTGTCTGGAAATTGTTGCAGACACATGTTTTCTTTTCAGGACTGAATTGAAATAATTGGAGTGAACAGTATCTTACCAGAAGAAAGATGGCAGGCCTCCAAGAAAGGTCATGTGAGTGACTGAGGACAATGCATGCAACTAGAGCACCACTAGCTGATGTCAACTTAGGTGCTTCTAGGCAGATGATGCTTAGAACCATCAGCTAAGAGATCATCTTTCCAGACACTGTACTGTATATATGTCCAGTTTCAAAGAACAGAGAATCAAGATTTACTTTATAAGTTTTAAATTCCTACTTTTCCACTACTTAACCAGTAGGTAGCATCTTACTAAAGCAAAGCAGCATACCTACACATATAGTTCTTCTGCTTTCAGAAATACCTCATTTTCCCTGCTCTTAAAAAAGGCAACGTTCTCTGAAAAAAGATAGTAGCAAAACTGGAGGATCACACCTTCATTGAAAGAACACAAACAACTGTAAGGAATCACAAGTGCACAATAAATGTCTTGTTTCTTCCAAGAAAGAAAAAGATGGAAAGAGCAGTAAAAAAAACACAGTAAGGTTAGAAGCAGAAAGTGTAGTTATCTGGGCTCCTGTACAATTCCCTGAAGGCTCTAGACTGAAAGCTCCATGGTTTCTCTGCAAAAAATAGGGTTTTTTCTCTTCTCCCTGTTTTGAAGGAGCAATATAATTTCTAAAATGAAAGAGATTTCCAAAAGTCTGCAGCCCTAGAGATATCCATTCAAAAATAATTCACTTCAAGTTCAATGGAAGATACTCTCAAGCAAGTTTGTATAGGATTACAGTCCTAAAAGTTTAATATATTCAAGATTAAATTGCAAAACTTAGTTTGACCTCAGGTAACTTTTCTACCTAGTACATCACCTTAAATTCATCTCCTTCCTTGCTAATTTAAGGACTGACACATTTTCCTGCTGCCTCAGGAACATGTGAGGAACAGATAGATCAATGGTTGGAGACGGACTTTGTGTTTAGCAAGTGCATTGCCAAATTTCTTTATGTTCTTCCACCCACAATGCAGGGCAACATCATGGAGGAGAAGGCTATCAATGGCCATTAGCTTTGTTGGCTATGTGCCTTCTCCTTTATCAGAAGTGGCATGACTGCATATTCTAGTTGCTGAGGAGCTTGGGCAGGCAGAACTCTCGTAACCACCCTGCTTGAGGGATCCTGTGCGTGTCTGGTTTGCCAGAATGTGACTGGAGTACTGCATGGGAGGGGCCATTGGTCTGATCCAGCACGGCTTCTCTTAGTTCTTAAAATTAGCATGCATTCATAGCTCCTGTGAAGAGTATAATTTTCATTCCCAATACAATGGTAAGAAGAGTAATTTTCTTTGCAGAAGCTGTTCACATGTTGAATCAATCTGGGAAGCAGAACTGCACCAACCAGCCTTGCCCTTACTATCTGCCAAGAACATTCATATGGCCCTGCTCAGATCTTAATTCAGGACTCATGCAATGCTGTGAATTTATGGATTATAGTGAAGAGACTGCTAGTCATTGTTCTGCCAGTTTTAAAGAATGCCAGTCATTGTTCTGATGATGTTAAGAAACAATGAAGCCTATTAATCTACTTTATTTTTAATTGCTAGTAGTCAGTCTGCAATGTCAACACCTAAAAGCAAAGATGCTTCCTAAAAGCATCACATTGACCACATAGTGAGCAGGAAGCTCATTGGGTGACTTTGAGCTGGTCACAGACTCTCAACCCAACCTACCTCACAGGGCTGCAGTGAGGAAAAAATAGCACTTGGGTTCTTCACAAGAGGAAAAAGGTGGGATATAAGTGCGATTTAATAGTTATAAAATTTTATGTTACTAGGAAATCCTATTTACATACTAATGATATGTTATCTTGAAACATCCAATAAAGTAATAAATCACCACAGTGTGCAGTTTTCTTCTCTTGGTTTGAAAATAATTACTTTTAGCATGCAAGAGCCAAGTAACCATGAATGAGCCAATCAAAATACTCAAAGTATTGTTTAACTCTTTTCATCTGAGATGAAAAGGCTGCATGAAAAGAGCTGTGCTCTCCAATCACCTAAATGTAAAAGTAAATATACCAATAAAGCCGCTTTGTGGACTGCAGCAAATGCCGACACAACTGAGTCTTCCTTCATCCCAGGGAGATTTTTATGCTTGCAGTTCCTCCAAACTAGTTTGACCTGCTAGTTCCTAAAGACTTTGCAGCGGTGCTAAGATGCTGGTGCAGCGCTGGGTAGCAAACATTCCAAGCAGTCTGGTGTCCCATTTAATCACTGAGCACTTCATTAAGCATTACTTGAAAAACGTAAGCATAATGAGGTTTGAACGCAAGAGTTGTACTTCAGAAGCCTGAAGGGAGGGCGGGAACAAGAGCGATCGTTCTTGCTTGTTCGGAGCGCATCTAGCTCCTTCCCCCACCCCAGTGACCCATCTTCTTCTTGTGGTACTTTCATCACTCACACGCACAGCCTTTTAAGGCCCTCGCTGCAACATGCCAGAGCTCTGAGCTTGGCTCAGAGTCAGCTTCCAGGAGTTACACGAAGTTTCCATTCCTAATGACTCTGTTTACAGGGAGACGGAGTGCCTGAACAAATCTTAGCCAAGGCATGCAGCAAAGCCGTTCTTCTTACCTTTCCTTGCCACCGCCTCTCCCCTGCGCGGCTGCGGTGCGTGCGCGCCCCGAGAACAGCTCGCAGCCTGGCACAGGCTTAACTCTCGGCCTGCTAGACTCATCAGGGCTGCACTCATTCCAGGGCAGCCACTTCCTCCTCCATAAGGAGCTTAGGAGGGCCCTATCCATTCCGGCTGCAGGTGAATGCTGGGAAGTGGACCAAAGGTCATCCCCATGGCGTCAGGAATCAGATTTCAGCCTCGACGGCCAAGTAGCCAACGAAGGGGGATGAAGGTATGCGAGCTGCTAAGGCTGCCCAGAGCACGCTTCTCGGCCAAATACTCAGTACATGTGCAAGTCTGCAGGCTAAGTCAAACTAATTGTGTCCATAATCATCTGGAAAACACACACGGATCTAATAATCACTGTTTGCAGCAGCCAGGACGAGGCTAAACCTGAAACGGCTCCTGTAGTAAAGGGGGTGATCTGCACGGTGACTGACCTGTTTGCTGTTTGGGGTTGCAATCCCCTACACACTTAACCCAGACATAATTCCTACTGAACACAGCGAGGGGTGATTCTGAGTAGACTTGTGTAGGATCCCATTGTTGTTCTCCTTCTTTTACCTGATTTTGCCTGAAGACTGTATTGTCTACAGAAAGCAACACTAAAGCTTGTGCATTAAAATCTGAAGCATGTCAGCTCCAATAAGGCTGCCTTGAGTTTAGTGGGATGTAATTCATGTATACAGCATTGGAGAAACAACTTGGCTGTCCATTTATGTATAAGTAGGAGAAGTAGGAGGCAGCATTATGCTTTACAAGGGGGGGGGGGGAAGCAAAACTGCTCCTCTTGGTCCCTGGGTACTTTAAGCACTCTCCCAATTCTGGTTTATTCTTGAATCACAGGGTGAAATAAAACCACCTAAAGCAACAGACTACAGTAGCAAGGTATTTATTTTGCTTTCCATGCTTGCACACACCTATTTATGTAAATAAATACACATTATGTAAATTACACATCACATAAAGGGGCAAAAAATCTAGTTAAGAGAAATACGAATTTCTCTTAGCTACAGATTGCAATTCTTATTATACTGAATTTATATCCCACCTTTTTTCTTTTGGAAAGAATCATGCAGAATGCTTCTCTAATGCAACTTAAATCACTGAAGGTTTATTTTGTATCCTCCAACCTTTGGCAGAGGAAACCTGTTTTACACAGGCTGTTTCCTTGATAGATGACTCCTCATGCTATCCACTAAAAGGCATTGTGCAACAATTCTGTCTTTTCCACTTTAATTTTTTTCAGGTCAGAAAAAGAAGCAGGAATATAAAACCACAGGAGGGTTAGAAATAGTGATGCTGCTGAATTTCAGAATTAGTCAGCTCAGCTCACCTGTCAAAATGCATCCATTTGTAATGTGCACCTTTATAGGAAGCCTGGCTTAGTGTATTATGAGGTTGCTATTACATTCAGGACTGATTATAAGCTTCAGAGCATGTGCAGTGTGCTTCCAAATAATGCAATTTCTGTGCAGACTTTATAGCATCGGTTTCCTTTGTGAAATGGGACATGGAGCACTTATGAATTGTCAGGTTTTGCTGTGGCCTGCTTACAAATATAACATCCAAATGAAAAGGCCAGGAGAAAAAAAACAACACAGTTGAATTATTCTAGGTCCAAAAGCATTGCCAGTATTTTTAAACCCTAAACTACTCTAGTCTCCTTGTGAGGAAGATATAAATTGATGATAATAGGTGTTTTCAATTATATTTATCAAGTAACAATTCAAACAGTTCACAGCACCCTGTTATTAGTCCTTCTCTTTAATTTTAATGACACACAAAACAGCTGTTATATAAAGGCCTAGTTTTACTCTTACCAGCAGTGGGAAGAATGGTTCTAGCATAATACAGGAAAATAAAATTAGGTTACACTGTGAATGGATGGTTTCTGAAAATCTGGGAGATGGCTTATGTTCAAAAACTAACCATCTAATATGCAATAACATAGGGGATTGGTCAGATGATTAATCAAGCATGGAAACATGATTACATACATTAATACAGGGTCTATAGGCTCACATCCATTGACTGTGAGGTTCTATTATTAGCAGGGCTAATAATTGAAAAGTAATCATTATGTTTCTGTAACAGAGCTGGGTGTGTGTTCTACAACATTCCTAAAATATGTATAGAACCTGTGATTTATCATGTGAAACAGTTTGCATGTGTTAATGTTTTGTTGATGTATCATTGTTACCTTGTATTTCTACATCATATGTTTATAATTGTATTTAAAATAATATGTAAATAATAATATAGACCCACAGTTGAAAAAATATGCAACTGGTTATAACATCTCAAAAACTGCATTAGACTCTGGTGTTGTGAGAGGTCTCTCTCTCTCCTTTCTTCTCTAGTAGACTTAAGACAAGCATGTAGAAGCACAATCTTTTTATTAGCACTTAATGGGTCGCAGTACAGTATAAATCAAAGTAGCATTCTCAAGATGTGGGAGAAGCCAGTGTAAAGTGTGGGGTCCAAACTGAAACTTCTGCTCCTGCCCTCCCTTCCAGAAAGAGTCTGATTCCACCCTCTGGGTGGCTCCTGCTGCTCAAGGACTTGATGGTGTGGACACCAGACACTTTGAACTGCTGTGCTCATGTCCCCTGTCCTCTCCTGACGGTGTCAAGAGCTCCTTCCCAATCTGCTCACCCCCAGCTCTGGGATGGCTTCCTCCTCTTCCAAGGCAGACTGGTTCCCAGTATTTGCCTGAGAAACTTTGCTAGGTAACCTTGAAACTGCCCAGTCATGTTGCCCTTCTGCCTCCTCCTCTGAATCAAATGAACCTCCCTGAGCAGAATGTGGCATGTAGAGAGGGGGACCAGCTCTCCCATCAGGGAAGCTTTCAGTTGTCCGAGCAAGCACTGATGCTAAACCACGGGAATTGTTTTGCAGGATTTAATCTTGGCTTTGTAATCTCAGGTAACTAACAAAGAGAATAAAACACATGTAAAATCTGGACTGCTTGATACCCCAACTTGTATCAGAGATCTTCATGTGAAGCAGGAGTATGTGCAGCTGCTGCAGTCCCCGCCCCCATCCCTGCTAACAGGCAGTCATTCCCCCCCCCCTTTTTTTTGCCTAAAGGAGAGAGATAATAATATTTGTTGTAAAATGTCACTGTGGATTGTAATAGCGGGCAAACCCAGAGCTGGGAAGATGAAGGTAAACAGCTCCACCTCTGTGTGGCCACAGATCTCAGTTCAAGTATGAATCAGCTCCACAGGTCAAATGCTAGTTAAAATAGAAAGTTTTTCCCCTGTTGATGGGAGATATGTGGGGGCCGAGCATGACACACTCAGACATTGTCCCCCAAATGTGCAGGCCCCAGTGGAAGATCCCAGCACCTGAGCAGGTTCATACACAAGAAGACAGTGCTTCAGGTAACCCAGTTCAAAGGATTTAAGGATTTTGTAAGACATTACCAGCACTTTGAACTGTGGCTGGAGGCGGACCAGCAGCCAGTGTAACTCTTTTAACTGAGGAGTTGGTTAATGGATTGTGCAGCTCTAGCTGGCCTCCTTGGATCAGGCTGCTTGCTGAACCTCTGGGAAAAAGCAGACAGAGACCAATTCCTGCAGAAACAAATTCCCCCTTGTCAGCATTGAGGATCCTGAAAACATGAAGGGCACTGGAAGCAAGCCAACTTCTGACATGAATCCAACAAATCCAAAGCTAGAACTTGTGAAAATGTAACTCTCTGCAGATTTTCAGCTGTTTCCATGAATGTTTCCTCACACTCACCTGATTTTCTGGGTTGCTGTTTTCATTGCCCATTTTGACATGTAGGTTTCCAGATCACCCGTTTATATGAAACAAGCCAGCTGAAAGAGATGAACCACCATCAGGCTTCTGTGTATACACTGCAGGGAAAATAGTTTTGAGGAAGAAAATTGCCTCTTTGGCCAGCTGAGCCATTCCCAATAAAAACTATTGCCAAGTTTAGAGGTGAACTCTGCAAAAATTCAAATATATACAAGGCTAATTAAACATTGGAAGAACCACACCAGATCCCAGCTTTGGAGTTCTAGCTTGCTCATTCTCCCACAGGGCTGGCCTTGTCATGCAACAAGGTAGAAGTGTTAGGAACAGTATAAGGCAGGGCCTTAGGTCAGGATATGAACTTTGTAACAGTGTAGAAGAAGCAGAGAACAGTGGTAGGAAGCTTGCTTCTGGCTTTATGCTTGCAGTCTCAACTCTTAAGTTAGACATCTCTCTTACTATAAAATGTTGTAGTTTGCTTGCTTCCTTGCTACAGTGTAGAGTGACTTGTATGTTCTGTAAAGCCTTAAATGCCTGAGCTGGTCTAATCCTGGAAACTAAGCAGAGCGAACCTGGTAAGATTCTTAGGGGAGACAAGTATCTTGCACTGAGCAGGGGTTGGACCCAATGACCTTCTAGGCCAATTCCAACTTTTTGATTCTGTGATTTACCTAACTTGGAAAATTGCTTTTCTCTTATGCATTGTGACATGTATACATTTCAGGTAACTGTCAAATGGGTACAGTGTCTTGAAACCTGTTGTCTTGCATACTGACACACACATGTGTGTTTCTGGAGTGCCATTCCAATAAAATCATTGCTGTTCTCTAACTTTCAGCATACCTGTTTGGCTAAGCTATAACAACTGGTGTAACAAACAGGATAAAGATTCCTAGATAAGAGTTAAGTCATTTTAAGATAACATCTTTGGATTAGCTGGTTCCTGTGAGCTGGACTCAGTTGAACCAACCAAGTCAAGCTGGGACAAATAAGGTAAGAGAGGTTTTTTCCTCCAAAAATATTCTTTCATTTGACTTGTGTAGTCCAGTTCTGTTTGATCAGGTGATGATTAGTACACCCTGTTAAAAAAGTGTTGTTGCTTGTGGTTTTGTTGGAATTGAACATAAAAAGGAATCTGAGTCTTCCAAAAATCCCACACAGGTCTGTTAGATCAAATAATCAGGAACTATGGGCAAAATGGTGTTCAGCTGCCCATCTGTGTCTTAAATGGTTGGTTTTTCTGTGTTAAAGCAATCAGACCATCAGTGGCTGAGGTCTGGAAGTTTTGGCTGAGACAAATTAGACTACCTGAAGGGCTTTTCTGGTTAATCCTCATCCTACGGGTTCCTTTGGATCAGTTTGACTCCTAACAAAAAGTCTGTGGAAATAGACAAAAGGACTGTAATTCTTTCTGCTGAATCTTTGGCTCCTTCTTACACTTGATTTTTCTTGCTTTTTCTGATTGTACTACTGTATACCTCCCTGTTTTTCTGACACTCAACCACTCTCCTAACCGATAAAAGAAAGCTGTGCTGAGAAAGAAGGCTAACAGGGAAAGACTTAAAAGATTAGAAAAATATCTCTCTCCCGCTGTGAGCCTGACCAAGAGAACTGGCAAAAGCACACCCAGTCCAAAGGTCAAAATTGGCTGCCCATTTTCCTTTGAAAATATACTTTAGCTGCAGTTCAACTCGAAAGGTATCAGCATGTTCAACTCCACTTGGAGGTCCAGGCATTCAATTTCCTCATTGAACAGGGCCCAAAACAGGCCTGGAACAGGAGAGCTGCAACGAAGTTCGAGAGTGCCACAGTTCCAAGAACCCAACCCAAGCCACTGGAAGGATGGATGTCCTAAGCAAAGGAAAAAAATGGCCATGCCCAGCCATTCCATCTTTTTTGCCCTCCTAATCATATCACTTCTCCAAGAACCATACCCCTCTGCTTTCTTAATTCTTTTTTCTGGTATTTCTCCCATTCTCTGGTTTTATTTTTACAGTTGTTAGGATTTCAGGGAAGCTGACAGAGTGCCAATCTCATATCCCACTCCAATGACCATTGTCCTCTGAGGGTCAAGCTGTCCTTTCTGTTGGCACCAAGTGCTCCTGCAAAATTGATTGGGCAGAGATCTCCTATGTACACTCAACTCCCAAGTACAGTCTGGATTATGTGTATGTAACTCCACCCCAGTCTAATGTTACCTCTTTGTTAATTTCTTTTTCTGATACTTTTCACTCTGAAATCTCTGAATCTGTTTTAGCTTTTCCCCTTTTTTGAACAGTAGTCTGAATTGTCAAAGGTACTTTCCCCATTGTGAGTAGCTACAGCCCATGAAGCCTGTCTCCTTAATGTGGCCTGGGTTTATTCCCTTCTACTAGTGTGAAGCAAAATCTGTTGTCCAAAGAACAAATGAAAGCACAATCCCAGTGATAGAAAACCAAAAGGAACTAAGTTTCTGAAACTCCCTCACCATTTAAAATCTTTTTTACAGCCCTTCTCTACAATCTCCAGTCTTTTGCTCAGTCTGCAGGCTCTTTCACTGGTTGCCTATAAAGCTAATTTTTAAAAATTGGCCTCAGATGTAGAACAGGCTTGCAAAATCGATTCTGCAACATTTTTGCAATTTTTGGCTACCAAAAAGTGCAAAGCTCTGGAAGAAGCAACCCGCATTAAGCAGTACTATGCCTAAGCCCATGAGAAGAAAGGAGTGTCTCAATGGTGTTCACCAAAACAGGGGAGAAGAAGTCATTTGTAGCAAAATGCCTTGATCTGGCATGGTTCCCAGCTGTCATCACATGCACAATTACTATTCCTAGGAAGCTCCAATAGCTGGAAGCATTTGGGGCTAACAAAGTCTGTTGCAATGGCAAGTAGAGGTTTGCTAGGAAATGATGAAAGATGTGCATTTAGGAATGTCAGCCCCTCCAAGATAATATGTCTCAAGACATGTGTGAAACAATTTCTGAGGAGAACAGAATTTGTTCCTGAACACACATTTGCTTATTCTGTTATCAAAATATTTGTTCCCCTTTCATGCATTTGCAGTCGGATTCCACCACCACTTTAGCTTTTGTGTGAGACAAGAATGTGTGTGTGGGGCGGTGGGGGAAGCAGGGGGACATCCTACAACCTAGGATCTGTACAGGGAAAGTTTTTGCAATATATAATGCCAGGACATTAAGGGACTAACAGATATGTCCTAAACCATAACAACAGGCTCTTAATATTAGACCCAGGCAGGGAAATGGCCAACCGAAGCAAACTGCATCTCCTAGCATCTCTACCCAGCTTTAGCAGTGGTAAGGTATGATGTAGTCCATCAATATCTGGAGGGCTACACATTCCTCATTCCTGCACTTGACAGTAGTCAGATGCAGTCAGACTGTTGGACTGGGACTCAAGAGATCTGACTTCTGGGTCCCACTTAGCCATGAAGGTCAGTGGGTGACTCCAAGCCAATCACTTATACTTGTCTAACCTAACTCACAGGGTTATTGTGAAAACAAAATGGAGAGGAAGAGCATTATGTAAGCTGCCTTGAGAGGAAAAAAGACAGTTTTATTAACTGAAATAATAAAACATATCTGTATCATCAATACAACTTTACCTTCAAATTATTGTACGAAGTTATAGGCAAATGAGATTTATAGCAAAACAAGGGATTTTTCCACAATGCACTTCAGTCTAGAGGCCTCTTGAATGATGCCATGCGAGGGGTTTCCCAACCCTGAAATAGCAGCACAAACATTGGTCAGTCATACTTCCTCATACTGGTGAAATTCTACATGTACAAAATTGAATTACTCTTCAAATGTGCATTTATATTATATTCAATATTCATGGAAAGCTAGAAGGCCAAAGTCAGGCATCAAAACATGTCTTAATTTCTATACTTTTTGCATTAATCTCAGTTTTAGTTTTAGCAAAATTACTTTAGTCTTTGACAAAAGGAATAACTGAATAATGCACTACTAAGGCCTAATTTGTATATATACACTTCCTGTTTAATCAGTGATTTGTGTGTGTGAAATGATTTGCTAAAGATTTCCAACCAAACAATATTAGGTCTGTGAAATTCAGCATCCATGTGCTGTAGGACTCTAAAAAACACTTCACCTTTGCTGTAGGCTGCAATGTAGAGCCTTACAGTGCAATACTATACATGTCACTGAATAATAACAAGAAGAGGTTCAACTACATTCAGTAAGCTTACTCCTAGGACAGGTAGAATTAGAATCTTCAGGTTGCTACTTTGATTAATTTAGACAGTTTGCATGGTCATAATGAGAAATAAGCTGCCATATGTGGGCCAAGTTTCCTGAATTACCCTGGCTGGCACAGCTTGCCATATCATCCAAACCTATGTAGCATGTCTTGTTGGGGAGGGCAGGAACCCTCAAATAGCCCCAGACAGCCCATGGATTCTTCAGGCAGGCCATGATGTCCAAGTCCATTCAAGGCACACCAGCAAGAATTACCGCCAGCAAGTGCACCAAGGTTAGCAAGCCACTGTGGCTTGTTGCACATGCTACAGTTGTGCAACTCAGTCGTGGCCAGTTGCTTGTGAAAACAGGAAATATGGGTTGTTATACCCATGTTTCTGCCTGAACTAAAAGGGTGTTTATGAAAGGGGGTGTGTAGAAAGGGAGGCTCTTTTCAAGAACTTGAACAACAATTGGCTTCTCCAGTCATAAGCAAGATGGGACTGAAGTACATGGCTAGGGATTTTCCAGTTTCAAGTTATTGTTCCAGATCATCATCAACATTATTTTGTTTTAGTTTACATGATTTTTGTTTCATATCCTGGCTAGTAAAGTCAAATGAAATCTGAATGTCGAATTTGCTGCTTAAACAAACCACAATAAAAGCACTTTATTTGGCCCATGAGATAAGGTTGCAGGGAGGAGCTTCCAGGTCCATTGCTTGTTCTTGCTTTAGTAGGTTATGGTTTAATTCTTTTTTTTAACCAATTCTTTTCTTACAACTGCATATATTTTTTTCCTATGCTTAGATAGTGTAAAATATGAATCTCCCAAATGAGCAATCTGTTCAAAGCCAAGAAGTCCAGTGCATGCCTAGAGCCTTCCATACTATCCCGCCCTGTTTAAATCATTTGCATCTGTGGATAAACCCCTCCATCAAAATAAAATAATGTTCAAGTTTAAGTGCACATGAAATCTGTGAACTGGAGCAAAGTCTTCCCTTTTTCTTTTAAAATTACAAAAAGAGATAGTGCCACATCAACCTGGAAAAGCCTTTTATTGCAGTCCTGTGCTTCTTAAACATAAAAGCTACACTAATATATGCACTGTCTAGAGAATGTATCTCACTGAAATTAAGGAGACTTTTTTTTTCTGAGAAGCATTGTTCAGTTTGCACTGTAAATCACATAAACTGGAGCAGAAACAACTTCAGTTACACTATGCTATAATGCTTTCTTTTGCTATCTAAAGCTGCCCGGGTTCCTCAGCTCAAATATGGGCAAATTGTCCCTGTAGAAGTCTCATTAATACACAAATCTCTCTATTAAGACACTATTGAAGCTTAAAACATAATCCCACAGCATTAAATTGGACAGCATAACCCTCTCTGGGAAATGGTTACATGATTTTGAAAGCCCCACTAGGCTTACATCCCCCAAATGTGAACATTTTGTGATATTTTCATATTAATGTTATTGCTTTAATTTTTTTCAAATGTCAGTGATTGTTCATTTAGTTCCCCTTCTTATTTCTAGATAGCTGACTTTTCAAGCATGCAGATTTTATCTCATTAAAGCCTTTTAAAACAAGGCTGTGTTTTGGAAAATAGTACTCATGTAAAGCTAAGATAATCAAGTAATTGGAGAACTTGTTGTTGCATGAAACAAAATGCCTTTGATGAAATAGTAATAGAAATAAATTCTTAACAGACTTACATTCCAGGACAGAGAACAACGTGGCTGCTTTGGACCCCTTTTGGCAGTTTACTCTTTTAACTACCTCACTAGTTTCTATCTTGCTTTTCTTTCTCTGCCTTCCTTTCCTCTGAACTGAGCTATCATTTAAATGACCTACCTTAAATTTAACATAACCAGTTGAACAAATAACTTTGACTCCACCCAGGTACCAAGTAGAACCAGTCAGTTACCTAACCAAGAGAGAATGATCCTCCAGGTTTGGAGTGGCAGAAAAATATGCAAGTATATATCACAGAATGAACATTCTGTCACCTTCCTATGACTTCTGTTTATAGGGTTATGCAAGATACAACCTATAAACTTTATAAGGATCATTTCTGCATGCACACCCACACATGCACACGCACATTCACACACACACTCATACACAATTTATTTTGTTACAAATACTTTTAATTATCTCAGTACTCTTGGCTGATATTTTAGAATGTTGCTAAAGGGAGGTGCTGAAGCCATTAATTCAGTCATTTAGCACCCTTCATCCATTTCACAATAACAACAATTATGCCTCACAACCCTCCAATGAATCCTCTAAAACACACAGTAAGAATGGCAGATAAACTACTTTTATCATACTTTTTAAAACACCATTGATGCATAGAGGGAACTATCTGCTCTGCATCTGACATTTTGAAAAATCCTCCCAGCTTAGATGATTGATGAGCAAGCTACCCCAAGCTGAGAAGTTCACCCCAGAGTAGCTTCATAATCTACAGGGGTTCTCTGTATCTTCACCCAAACACAAGAAGCCTTTCATTGTGCAGGGGGCAGGGGGGTTCATACAAGGGTTTTTCTTATGGGGTTTTCCTCTTTGCCTTTCCATATGTTCCACTGCACAGTCCAAGGTGGTGAAGAATTCTGAAATACACTAGGTGTCAATAGTGACTAAAGGCATAATATAGAAAAATCATATTTACTTTGCTCTTTAAAAAAATGCTGTGAGAATGGCTCAAAAAACAAGAGAAAGTTGTTTCTCAAGTGACACAATGAAAAGTCCTACAAGCTTCTGTGAGTGACAGACTGCAAGTACATAATAAATAAAATACATAAAGGAACAAAAGATCTACCCATTTTTTCCTCAGAAAAACAATTGATTGCTGGCCTCTACAATAGAATAAATTGTTCACATTTTAGTAAGTAAACCTTAGAAGTTACCCATATTCCCTCAACAAGGCAATAGCTAAGGAAACTCTTAGAAACTTCAGAAACATAAATGGACAATGCTTACATTAAAAATAGCTGTAACAATTGATACAAAACAAAAATGGGCACAATGGAATATTGGTGATAATACTCGGAGTGTGCAGGATCATGAATGGAAAACACAAACCAAATAAAACTTTTTCTGTTAGCATTACACATGAAATGTTAGGCTATTGTTTGCTTGAAATTAAATCCTTACATATTTTAGAATAACATTATTTGATATTAGTTTGAGAAGGTTTTAGTTAACCTTGAGAAACACAAAAGTATCAATTGTAGCTCATTCACACATGTATTCACTTTATTTAAGCACCTTTAATTCAATGTGGAATATGAGATTGAATATGTGAATTACCTCCAATGAAGAAGCAGTATTTTATACGATGGGCGAGTTTGTACCAACAAACAAGCTTGTTTAAAATGGCTTGTTTATACTGCATACCAGGTGCCATTTCTGTAATTACCTTCCTGGATGCAGTTTATTGTCTCATGTGAACTCAGATGGCATGGCTTGTTCAAAGAGAAAACAGCCTTCAAATAACCCCACTGCCACCATGGGTTGTTGGGTGTGGGGAAAACAATGCTTAAGTAACTCTACTATATATTATTTAGGGATTGTGTTTCCCTCTCAAGTAAACTTTGCCATCTGAGCTCAGATATACGAGTTATGCCCAGGTGGGTAACTGGGGACATGATATCTAGCAGACACCAGAGAAACAAGCCACCATAGCTTTAAACTTTAGGATGCTGTGTTTTATTTTTACATTTTGTATTGTTGAACCATCCTGAGACTTTTGAGAAAAGTTTTAAATAATTTCATTGTAATATTGCTAGGTCATTGTCTAGTAGTATGAATATTCCTTCTTTCATGATTGGTCTGTAGTAGCTGTCTGAGGCATAGAAGTCATTAATTCATGTTGCAGTCATCAAATGTTAATCATGCAGGTATAAACTCACATCTATGAAATTGACGTGAATGATTAGATGCATGTCAATTCCATTGTTTAGATGAAAAGGCAAAATTCTCTCCACCTTATCTCTGAAATCCATTTGTGCTGATGGTACACAAACAGTCATTGTGAAGATGCACTGTGAGGAAACAACATTAACAACAGCCATCACTTTGGTTATATCTTTATTCCTTCTCCAGCACCCCGACACACAATAGGCATCAGAAACACTGCAATGCAAAATGCAGGTGGGGTCCTGCTCATTACAGTAGGTGGGTAAGAGGCGTAGACGGCAGAATCAGGAGAAGCCTCTGTGACTGTCCCAGTGCTGCTGCATCAAGGGATTTAGGAACACACATGTTTTCCAGGGTGTTCGTAACCAGGCAGAGAATGGGATCTCTCCGCTGTCTTCCAGCAAGTGAGGTTGAAGGCAAAGCACATCCTTGGGATGCATCAAGTCAATCTTCAATTATGTGAAGCCAGGCTACCACTAGAGACGCAAAGGCAGAAGAACTAATGTGACCACCATCTCCGTGCTTCCAAGGGAAGCAGGGATCTGTACTCGAGTGTTAATGAATGCAGCATTCGTATCCACGCTTGCCTGTTTTCCCTGTG